TTTAATTACAAACATTTTTTTCCTCTTCCATTTTCGCCTAAAATCAACTCTTGAAAAGATACATAATTAAATAGGAAGAAAAATATGACATTTTTCGAATTTTTTTAACATATTGTGCCGCCAAAAGTTAAGCCCACGTTTTTTTTTATGCGCATAGAAAAATTTCTAGTGATATTTGAAAGCCAAAAAGCCAAAAATCTCCGTGGATATACGATTCACCCAAACCAAAACAGATACCGCCTAGTCTATTAGTACTATATTTTCTATGATTATATATTTTGTGGGTTAAACTATCTACTTCCACAGTCGTAAATCCTTAAAATTATAAAAAAATTTTGAAAAAAACATACTGGAAATATTTAATATGCAAATATCGACAGTAACTTTTTTTACACTGTTCAATTCAATATTCTATCAATATATTTAAAAAATCTATACGTGCAGTAAACATTTTCAAGAAAGTGATATAACATGTAGGTAAATCACACAAAATTAAAGATTAATAGGAACATCCTTACCCCTATAAACTGTACTAAATTAGAATTTGATATAATTTTTCAGTTTCAAAACAAAATTGCTCAAAATACAATTTAAAACGTAAACGCAGTTTATCTCAAAAGCTTGCACACATATTTATAAGATAATTTTTTTTTAAATAGATAAAAAACACACCCCTGTGCCCTGTGCATACAGAGTAATACAAAATTTTAATCCAATTTAGCTTAATTATTAAGAGAAGCAATAAAAATAAAACACAATTTCATAAATCGTAGCTCAGTTTCCAATGATAAGAAGTTCCCCAAATTAAAAATTTTGTAAATATTTGTTACTTATATTTTGTAATTATATTTACCTTTTTGTTTCATACAACCAAATATTGTTCCCATCGTTAATTTTCTTGACTTGCTAAAGCTAACTATTAGGTCACTATTTAAAGGATAACAGGATACACTTATAGTGGAAAAAATTCCAACAATGTAAATAAGGCTCAACATTGTCATAAGTGTATTCAAATTATCTTGAGCGCCATCCGCCATTATATAGATTTTCAGTAAATTACTAAAGTTATCTGATTGATGAAATCACTATAATAGGAAAATGATTTGATTAATCATATTATTTTCTTGCAATTATCGTCAATATTCTCCATTCATTTTTAACAACAAGCACCATTTAGTTTTCTATTTATTTAAATCTTGGTCATTCAAAAGTTAAGAATACTTCTGCTTGTCATTTTATAATTTGCCTAGATTTGTCTTATTATTACAGGTACATTTATACTGATTATAGTAATTCTAAGAAAACATTTTATAAGAATATGTAATACCTACTGTTAACTTTTCTGATAAGAAAATACAATATTTAATTCTCAGTAATGTGATACTCAACTTATGACAAAAAAGAATTTTGAAAAATTGTTAGACAACAAAGAATTTTTATTTTTCCCATATCTTCAAAAACACGCTTAACAAAGATACATCTAGAATTTTCCCATTATTTAGTTTGTTTCTAAACAGTATAGTCACATTAAGCTGTGGTATAGTTCTCCATAATTGGCAGCTCCTCCTTTCTCCATTGTAGGAAAGGAAGTAGGAAAAAGTGTGGCGTCGATCTGGCCACCTGCACAGTTTTAATTATTTGGCAAATATAAATACGTTTTTTTAACTATATTTTGTACAAGTTTAAAAAATAGACATATTTTGTAAGTCCGAGTGCTTTAAAGGATATGATCCATGCAGTCGCATTGCGAATTACGAAATAGGATTATTAAGTACTTTGATCGACCAAATAAAGCAAACAATTTGCAACTATATTGCAACTGCCTAAGAAAACAAATCAGAAGCATTCATGGAATGTGGAGAATGCCAAAAAAACCTAAAAAGGTAGGTAGCAAATTTGGCGAGTAACGAGGCATGTCACTTTTTTTGTTAAAATTGATTTATCTACACTACAATCACAGACAAAATAGCTATCGCCACAGACCGCTACTGGAATAGGCCAGCAGTTTTAAATTTCCGAATTGCCGGTAGAGTACACCACCAGCAGAATTTTAGGAAGAATCAAATACAGCGGCTATCTACGCGTATCCTAGCAACATATAAACAAGACTTTGGTAATGTTGCCAGGCGTACTTAACCGATTTCTTTGGTACACTTTTTTATCAATATCTGTTTTTTGCGTTACTGTATTTACTTAAATGTATGATGTAGGTATTAATAAAAATGTTTTTAAAGAATCAACGAATATCTATGTATGTTTCATATGATATTCTGCAGCGGTATTACAATTAAGTTATTTAATCATAATTTCGTTAATTAGCTACCTACTATTTTCATTTTTTGGTATTGAAATACTGCAGAAAGTATATTTCCAAATAAACAAAATTCGTAATAATATTTTAAACAGCTTGTAATATAATTTTTTTAATATTTGATGATGACGATAAATTTATTTAATATACAAGGTGGGTTATTAGTACGTCGCGGAATGTAGGTACAGGTTTTTTTTTGTATTTTGACATCCACTTATAGGTTTAATAAATTAAAGATAGAAAGAAACTTTGAATACAAATGTACGACTTTTCCTTTATTTCGTTTGACATTAAAATTTGCTGGCATAAAATATATGTTTAAAATAATAAAAATCATTAAAAAAAATTCAAATTCATCATTATGAAAATAACAAACAACGATTTTTATAACTAATCTTTACAACATAAGGAGAATACCTAAAAACGAAATAACATTAATATAGGTACCTACAATTTTTACAAATCAACATGCAAGTGATTGTGTTGATACAGTTGAAAATATGTTTTAATTTACTATTAATTGCTTCAAAAACAAATTCAAAATTATCAAGCATTTCATCCCGTATTTTTCTTTCAATACTCTTGTAAATTTTCAGGTAAAAAAAATAAGTCTAAAGGACTGACAATGAGATCGGGGGTGTTTTCTGGCCACCTAAGGTTTCTAATAATATTTTTTTAGTGTTCAATGACGGGATTCTTCCTCCAAAATAAATTTGCCAATATTCCTGAAGAACTTTTGCACATTATTGTTATTTGAATAATACAGTTAATTAAAATGGGTTATTCTAATAATGATAAATCCCATGTATTTTTAAAAGGTTCGTTTCTGTCGTTTTTGTCTGTATGTTCCTTCTGCGTTGAATGCAAAAGGTATAACTCGAAAAGATAATTGCGAAAATCTCCCCACACCCCTGGTTCTGTATGTCAGCTCTGCGTTGAATGGAAAAGGTCTGAAGTCCGTTTGTGGAAAATAAATTTCAGAAAGAAGTGTGTGAGGTGATACAGTAAAAAAGGTCTTATAATTCGGAAACGGTGCGTTGAGTTGAAAAAATAATTAAAAAAATCTTCCCACTACTCTGGTTCTGATTGTCCGTTCTGCGTTGAATGGAAATGGTCCGAAGTCAGTATGTCGAAAAACAAAAAAGTTAGTCAAAAATTGCAACAGCAATAGCAAACGCATTATCTTATCTCTGTATTGATTGATGATTTGTTGTTTTTTTTTAAATAAATTTCGTATTCAACTACTCCTCGAGGTTCCAGCAATTTTACATTGTGTTAATTTTTTTGAACACCTTGTGTCACAAATATGAGCACTACCAATGACATCCATGATATGCAACACTTGTGTCAATAATTATTTTACATATCTAAAGAAATCAACAATAAGAGGCAGTACCCATCTAAGGATACACAACCTGTATAATGCAATTTTTTTAAACATAGGTTAATATCGTACCATATTGGAAGTCGACGCACAAATCTAAAAACATAAATTTCGAGTTTTTGAATTTTCCCATTCCAAGGTGATATAAAATAAATAATTAATTAGGTAAATTCATAGTTTTAATTCTAACTTGATTTATTTTATTGAACATTTAAGGCAAATGTGATTTCCAAACACAAAATAAGTTCCATACCTCTTTAATTACATAATTGAAAGCATTAAATTTATTTAGCAGTTATTATTTGGCAACAAAGCCACCATTGGAACTTCCGCCTATTACCAAGTAGAAGAGTTACCACGCTAAATTTTATAGCTGGAAGCCGGCTAAGGAGACCCTGCTTCCATTTCGGGTTGCCAATTTCCAGCATTTAAGTAGCAGTCTGTAGCGATACGCTATATTGTCTGTGTTACAATACAATTCATAATGTCATGTTGCAAGAACCAATTAAATCTGACAAACATTAACATTTTTAATAATGGCTTACATGGTATATAACACTTGGCAACAAATACCAAATGTCTGGGACATGTTCAGCTATATTGCATCAATATTTATTGTATTATCGTGTTGCAAGTCTCACATAATTTCTAATTTAACTCAACTTATTATTATTATTCGACTTATAGCTACAAAGCCTTTTATGTAAGAAGAAAATCTCGTCAGAAGTATGTAGTTGCCGACACAAGAGTATCTAGCCAATCATCCCTATGAAGTAGAAGAAGCAGAGCAGATATCGAAATTTTCGACTAGATATCTAATTCAACTGCCGGAGATATCCACAAAGCTCTCAACTGAACCCAACGATCAGTATGTGACGTTGGAGGCCGATGTTGGTGACAGAGCGCCAACCCCTCGTTTCGTATTTTGGAAATAATATCAGTACGGATTGAATCCAAATCAGGAGATGGAAGATCCGGAGGGCCAAAAGTGAAAATCCAATGTGAAGATCCCTGCAAGGCCGACACGGAGCCACCGTGAGGTGTGATTGAACGTCAACCTTGTGGAAAATGCTGCACAACAATTTCTGTAAAAAAAAAGGTGAAAGCAAAATGGTAAAAAAAAATCAATTATAGATTTATACATATGTATTTATTGAGTAAAAATATTACAAAAAAAATTAGAAAATAGCAAACAAAGCCATTATAAGCTGGTTACTACCCAAAGTAGGATATTATAATTAAGTTATAAAATATGTTACATTAATAAAGAAAATTATATATCTACCCATAGATCTGTTTAAAACAGACTTACAAATATCTCTATCACTATTTCAAATAAAAATGTCTTATTTGTGTGAAATATTCTAGGAAAATGGGGAGAATATATTACTACTTTAACATATAGGGCTGCAACAGAGAAAGTTGTTATTCTATTAACATATGAAACAAACATTAATCTTATTACTATTCATACTGTACATGTCAACTGTGTATTATAAATTTCCTTCTTACTGAAACGGAAAACCAAATACAAATTCTCAACTAGTCATTACTAAAAAATAATTTCAATTTTTCATTTTTTCATTCCTCTACAATTATGAAAAATTAAAAATATTCTCCTTTACTGTGTGTAAATGGCAGAAAATACAACGAACATCCTTTTAAATCTAAAGGATATCTGCAAAGGAAGTAGAACATTCTTCTGTATCAGACAAGTTACTGTCTGAAGCAGACTGTCAACTGGTGCTCTGTTTAGTTTTCTGTTTGAAGGCAATAACATATCGCTGGGCCACGTAATGCGGGGGACTATAACCCTCTGGGTATGTAGAATCTTCAAACAGCAACTCGTACTCGTCCATGTGTGTTGGAGGTGGTTTGTTGACCAGGGCTTTGTAGAAGCAGGTTGTTTGAGGGAAGAGACCTAAAACTGGAAAAAAACATTACACAACAGAGTTGCCTAAATCAAAGCACCTATGAAATGTTTTAGTTGTTGTCAATTGCCCTGTTGCAATGGTTTGCTATACGTGGCAACCATAGATTTGACAGTAAGCTATGGATGGAGCCAAAGCCTACTTTCTGTGCATTGTAGCTGTTCCAACATGAACGTAATAGATATAACAAATTATGTGTGATAAGCCTACAAATGCCTTAACTCACGTGACGTGAGACTAGTTTCATCTCACTTTACATCTTGGCCTCTTGCCCTCTTTCTTTATATTCCATCTATAGTAACTCAAATTGATGCTGGCAACACACTGCAAGACTGCTATTTCCCAAAGAGTAACAATGGAGTCGCCACATTACAGTTTCATTTAAAGTTCTTAGATTGGCCATTATCTGCTAAATCATAGCAGCCTTATTACTATTTCTAGTCTATTTCATTGTCCTGTTTCGGTGAATTTCTCATAATTTCTTAGAAATTTTCTGTCAAATAACAGTTGGGGCATAGATTTGGCAGTATACTATGGACAGTCATAACAGACTTTCTCGACAACATGAACAGCAAAAGTAATAATGATTTGCCCTAATTCATGTGATATAGGATACAAATCTTGTGACGGTTTGAAAAGGTATCCTATTTCTGATTAGAAGATGCTCTTTTTTATAGCGAAAATGGACTCTTTGATAACAACACAACAATGAAGTGTTAAAAGGATGAAAATATATTTTTGAAGACTATAATAACGTTTATTAAAATTTTATACAAATATCTTTTGTTATTTGAAGAATATATTAGATATCGGTTTTCAATAAAACGATAATAAAATGTATAACATATAATTAAAAAGAGATCTTATATTATAGTGATCGACATTATTGAAAAAGTTCAGGTTCTGAATAATTAGTAATTAGTAGACTTCAACTATCGAATAAATTAATTCAAATAAATGTATCCTGAATGGGGGACTATGAAATGCCTTACGAGTAGTATGGTACGAGTCATCCTACTATGCAAATAACTAGCGTTTGTAATGTTTATGTTTGTCTCTTCTGGGTTTACTAACACTAACCACTGATGACTATTGGTTAGTGACTACTAGTTCCATGTCACTATTATTATTTGTTTTTTTAGTGGCGATACCAATCCTCTGCATTGACAGAAGAAAATTATACACAGTATTGAATCAGTCGGTTACGACCAATAAATGAAGAAAGAGAAAGTAAGACCAACGCATTGGTCAGCTCGTTTACCTAACAAATTCATTCGATTAATTTGTCTGGCGAGCTTTGAAAGATAGGGTTTATGTTTATAGTGCCACTATGAACTTAAGATAAATTAACGCAAAGAAAAAAATGGCTGAGCCAATTTACTGAATTCATATTGTTTGTATCTTTCAATGATCTTTCTAGATGCTCAAGTAGAAATTTAATTTAATCCGAATTATCTAACTATGTACTTCTATCATTAGTGCATGTTAAATATTTTACTAGTACATACATCTATGGGTTAATGTAGCATGCATATTCCAAAAAATAGTAAGATAGATAATCACAATACACCCCAATTTATTTTTTCTGAAAAACTCAAGTAGCGTATTTGTGACAAAAGTAATGAAAGTAATATTCTAGCAATTATAAACCCCTCTTCATTTACAAGTTGTACCAAATTTAATTGAAATCTGTTTATAAATTCCTTAGACATAAAAGATATCTACATAGTTATTTTTCTATAAGGAATTAATTCCTGTTATTTGAGAATTTAAAAGTGAAATCACCCCGATTAGAACAAGAGAGTTCTTCTCATTACTGAGAATTTAGAGAATCTTAGACTGTCAGCAGCCAGGGGGCACAGCGGTCTACATCATCAGTTCTATGCAGTGTTATGCAGAGGCAATTTATTAATTAAACTGTTGTAATATGATAAAAGTAAAAAATAAGTAAACACATAATTTGTCGGACCCAATGTCCGTCATACCGTCTGGAGTTACATTGGACTACGAACGTCAAAATTCATGTGCAAACATTATAATTACTTTCACTTATCTGGTACCCTAGATTATAAAACTAATAATCTATAAACCTACTGATGACATAGCAATGCAAAAATTCAAACTTGTGACAAAATTCAGGTCTATTGAAGAAACTAATGGTCTTAATGAAAAAGTAGTAGTCAAAAGAATACATTTTTCTATACATCTTTCACATTATTTTTTACATACCCAAAGTTCCTTGTGAAAAAAGAGCCTGAGGATCTGTTTCAGGGTCGGCCCTCATTAAAGGCAAAGGAATGACCTGCCGTCTGTTTAGGATGTGACGACCCTTCTGATTCTGTTCTTTAAGTATGTCATCTACCTCGTACTTACTTGTACCATGATTGTAACTTACGACTTCCGCTAAGATCCAATTTTCCCCATTGGTCTCGGAAACTTTTACCAAAGCTGCAACCATATCACCAATCTGAAAAATATAGTCGCTTTTATTTGACATTCCAAGATAACTCATAAACAAACTTTAGCAACATAATTTGGGTCAGCAGGAACGGCTCCACATAGGGGAGGAGGTTTTTCACCAATTTTACTAACGTACAAAGGCAAAGTCTGAGCGGAACTTGACAACATTTTCATCCAAGGACCTCTTCTAATTGATTCTTTATTAGAGGCAATTCGAGCCTATAACAAATATTCTCAGAAATAATATAACTATATAATAATCTAATTACCTGAATTCTCCTTTCATTTTTTATATTACGAATCTCAGTAATTTTCTGCAAAGCTTTACGGATAACCTCCTCTTCCTGTTCAGCTTGAGAAATTGCCGTTTTATATAAAGATTTTAACTTCTACAAAAACAAGATTGTTATTATGTATTTCTTCTTACAATTATTTTTACACTGACTTGTGAACTCTGTCCAGACTTATCATCTTGAGCATATTTCTGTAAAGTGTTAATGCCCTGCTCGCTCTGGATTCTTTTCTTTTCGATTTCATGAACAAGTTGTTGAAGTGATTTTAATCTGTCTTGAACTTGCTGTGCTGCAACAGCATCAGCAGCAAAAGGCATTTTTCAGCTTAATCGAACTTTTCAGATATTTGTTTATAGTAATTATTTATAAGGAACGCACAGTACCAAGACGATATTACTAATAAAATAAGAACCTAAAATTTAATTATGTCATACACATTCACTACATATTTAGTTTATAATCCGCTTACAGTATTACAAATAAATTTAGGTGATACAACTGTTTGAAATATATTGAAAAACATTTACACTTTGAATGGAAATAGGTAGGTATCTAATTTTTTTATAGATCACAAATTCAGTTAAATATATCTAAATTTTACATTCTAAAACGTTTAGGTTGAAATAATTTATATCCTAAAACGCCAATGCCAATACTAATAATATAGATCCAGAGAATTTATTTTTTCGTTATCTCTGATAAGAAGGACGTAGTAGGGACGTAGTCACAAAATATATAATAGTATTCACCAAAACATGTTTTGACCACAGATTAAAAAGATGATAGTTTTGACGTTCTATTAACTTTTGTTTTTGTTTGACACTGACAGTGACAACTGACATGACAAGTGACAGGTGACGGTGATAGCCTGACAGCATAATATATGAGGGCCTTTCGATTTGGTAAAAACAGTAAAGATCAGCAGCTAATGGCAACTTAGAGGTACTCAGAACTGATATTAGTTGCTAATAATTAACATAACTGAAGTAAGTGAACACTAAAACAAGTAATAAGGAAATAATCCAAAAGTGTTAAAGCGCTTTCCATGAAGCGTTTAAAAATTAAAAACGTAGATCTATCCAAAAGCGAGATGTGTCCACCTCTGATTAGGTTCCCAAATATTTTGCGGTCAGTATTCTTGCAGAACAGAAATCTATAGAGTTTTTGGCTACCCAAACAACACTTGTTTATCTCGAGTTTTCTTGTGTTCGGCGCTAGAGTTGGCCATTAGACAGATCTCGAAAAAAAAATGTTGGCTTAAATTTAGGTGTCACTTAAAAATAAATAAAAATAGTAACAGCCTTCTTTAGAGAAAAAGAAACCACCACAATTTTAAGGTTATATTAAATATGTGATCGTGATCAAAAGTTCGAATCAGAGCGCTTTCACACTATTGCGCCGAAATGCGGCGTTTGACGTAAACGCCAAATTTGAAAACTTATCACCTTCCACACTATTCGCGCGTAATCGAAATAACTAGAAGGTTTCAGGTTATGTTGTATTGTAATTAAAAACGCTTTCATTGAAAGCAGTGAAGCATTTATTATTTGTGGTCCCCCAGTAATTTTAATAACCAACCACAGTAGCCACATTTGTAATTCTAGAAAAATAAATGAAAAAAGGGAAAATTTATAATACCTATAACTCCAAATTTTCACGATTGTCAAAATTTCCAAATTATAACAAAACAAACCCGTTACAAAATTAAAATGATGAATGACTGATTTAACTGATGAGATAAGACATGAATATCGCTTATTGTTTGACGTTTAGGTATATTGATGAAGTTATTTGACAGCTGATTCGGAGCATTACACTTGTCCAGTCTC